TTTTAAGGTTTAGCGTGTTTTGAGAGGTCACAGCTTTTCTAGAGTTTAACGACTGTAAGGGAACAGCACTGTGGCCTGCTTGATCGAAAGTTTGAAGGTTTACGGACTGTAATAAATTCATTAGTTAATAATTCAAGCCAAAAGAAATAAAACTTTTAAATCTAATATGAGGGGATTCTCTGGGCGGGTGGGGTTTCTTCTTGAAGATAGCTTGACTAGAACTAGCTTGACATGAAATCTTCAAAGTCAGAGCTGCTGAACCCTAAACCCTAAACCCTAAGTTTAGGGTTCAGGGCTTGTGCAGCAGGGCTAGGGTCTGGAAGGAGCAGCGACTCCTCAGAGATCCCAATACCCCTTAATTAAGGGATATACCTAGGGTTCCTTTAAAGGGATCCTTAAGGGTTCCTTTAAGGGATCTATAGGGATTAGGGTTTAAGGGATCCCAATACCCCTTGATTAAGGGATATACCCCTTAAATTATAGGGGCCTTACAGTAGAAGCCAGAAAGTTGGAACATGGCTTTAGCAGGATTAGTGCCAGGATCCCTTATACTTTACCTTAAGGGCATGAGGAGTCTGATGTTCCAACTTTCTGGCTTCTACTATAATATTATGGTTGAAGGTATATTCCTTAATTAAGGAGTATTGGGATCCCTTAATTAAGGAATATACCCTTAAATTATAGGGGCCTTAATATTATGGTTGAAGGTATATTCCTTAATTAAGGGGTATTTGGGAGCCCCTATAATTTAAGGGTATATTCCTTAATTAAGGGGTATTGGGATCTCTGGGTCTTCATTTGATTCAAAGGGCGGTTCAGGATTTTGGTCTGGGGCTTTTCTTACAGAGACGCTGCTGTGTGCGGGTTTGAGGATTTTCGAGTCTTCTAGCGCCTAGTTACCTTCATTGCGGCCCAGTGAAAAGCGACCATGCGTACCAGGAGCGCGACACCTTGTGGTGGACACATCACCTGATGAGGTGCTGCCCATGAGTTTCAGTCGGGTTTGGAGGAGGTTTCTAAACCCTAAACCCTTAAACCCTAAAATCAGGGTGTTTGGTGGCTGACTTGAGGCTGAAACACGCAGCTTAGTCGCCCTAGCTCCCTGGGGTTTGAAGCTTACGTAGTGATCCTTAAATCGATACATCACACACTTACCGAGCGTTCTTCTCCTGCAGGCTTTCAACATCCCACACTTACACCCCAAAACCACTGAAACGGTTTAGGGTTTAGGGTTTAGGGAACTTCGCTCTCAGCCTTTAAGCCAAGAGAGAAGCCTAGCCCTCTCGAAAATCCGCAGTCCTGGCTTCGGGTTTATAGGGTTTAGGAGTGCAAGCTTCAGCATGTTTTTTATTTGAATAGGTCTTGCGTGCTATGGGAGGCATACTGCCAACCAGAAGCTTGGATGAAGTCTCACCCTGGACGGCCTAAACCCTAGGCTCCAAAGCCTACAAAGCCTAGAAACCCCAAACACCATATCATATCATACCATATAGAGTCATTCCTGAACCCTATATCATATACCCTAAATCCCACACCCCCTAAAGCCTAAACCCTAAACCTGCTTAAAGAGAAGGGATGTTTGTGAGGCACTCAAGCCGGCCCGCGATTTCTACGAGAAGTTGCTGGGCCTAGGGGGTTGTTTAAGGGATGTGTGTCTAGGACCCAGAGTAGGCCCTTATTCCCTTTTTTAGGGTTCAGGTTCCCTTATAAGCCCCCTTAAACCAAAAAGGGCATCCTTTTTATGCCTGGGTTACTCTTGGGTCTAGGTGTTTAAGAGTTTGAAGGGATCCTTGCAAGGGCTCCTCAAAGGCTAGAAGGGTATCGGGTCTAGGGGTTTAGAGTTTAGGGTTTAGGGTTTTAGGGGTATATAGAAGGCTTAAACCTAAATCCAAAGCCCTAAACACGAGGGTTTCGGGTCTAGGGTTGCGGAAGTTTCCTTGCCGTGGCTGAGCGTTGCACGCGCCCGTAGGGTTCCTTAAGAATCTAAGTAATATCCTATAGTTGTGTTTTTGCCATTTCGGGTTTAGAATATGGGCATGGAGCCTAGGGTTTAGGATTATGAGGGGTTGTTCCGGTCAGAGTTTTAACGTGTCTTGGCAGTATTTGAGTTTTGCTAACAGGGCTTTATCGGTGTTCTATAAAGGGTATATTCTGATATAGACGTTTGATTGATTAGCAGCTTCTTGTTGCTGTATCTATCTGTTTAGTCATTTGGTGTACCGTATGAACCGGACACCCCAAACTTTGTTCGAGTTGTATTATGATATGTTGGAGTATCCTGAACGCATGGATTTATGGTATACTCCTCACAATGGCTCCGACCCGACATCATTTTGTCCATCAGCAGTAGGCAAGCATATCCGCGGGTCACATGTATGAAAACCGATCCTGTGGCAAACTTTTGCCACTCATGGAGCATATTGTCCAGTACTTTACTACTAGGACCTAGGGTGGGCCCTTGTTCCTTTTGTTTCAGGGTTCAGGTTCCCTTGGGCACCCTTTTTGTTGCTAGGTTACTCTTGGGTCTAGACTACCATGCTACGGCCTTTGCTCATCTCGTCGCTCCAATAGCTTAGACTATCTTCCTCTCAATCACGAAGCCGAAGAAAGCCGAAGCCCTGAACCCTTAAGCCATCTTAAGCCCTAAACCCTACCACCCCGAGCATAACTATGTGAAGGGCTCCTCGTTATAAGCATCCTACTCCCCCAGACCCTAAACCCTAAACCGGGGGTTGTTTACATTTGGGAGTTTCCGAAAATTAGGGGTACCTTATTTGGGGCTCCTTATAATAAGAATCCTACGATTTAGGGTACTATATTAGGGTCCCCTATTTTCGGAAACTCCCATTTGGGCCCTTTCTTAGCTGCAGCCGCCCTGAGCAACCTATGCTTTGCTACAAAAAAAGGGACGTCGGCCCTAGCTTGAGAAACCCGAACCGAAAGTACGCTTGATGATATTGGGTGGTTGTCAGAATTACGGTCCCTTTTCGGGTCCCTAATATAGTATTTAGGGTACCCAAAAAAGGGACCATAATTTTGACAACCACCCTTATAGATCTTGCATTACCTTAATGACCCTAAACTATGGGAATTCTGGTCTATACTCCTTATTATTTATGGGTAATGCAGGATTTATGTCGTCAACCGTAGTTCTACCATAGGAGCCCAATAGGAAGCCCTGCAAAGATCCCCTTAATAGCACTCCTGAAAGGAACCCTCAAAGGGGTAGGGGAAGCGACGAGGTCTGGTTTCTCCTGCCGCGGTGAAATTCCCGACCTCTTCGGTGAGGGCCAGCATGGGGTCCAGTATGTGAAAGACCTCTAAGCTGCATTTCGTTAAGGGTCCATGTGCCCATGCCTGGACCCTGCAGAACCTACCTTTTTAGGGTTCCTTATTATCATTTCCTTTAGAAGTCCTTAGAAAGGCAGGTTCTTCAGGTTTAAGGTATAGCATGTACTCTGGCCCTACTGCTCGTTCAATCGTGACTACAAGGCCAAAGCCTTTGCGATACGAGTACATGGACCCTTAGCGTTTTTTCTTGGAGCCCCGAGAGAGTTTTATAGGGGCATATTACTTCTCCATGAGCTCCTGAATCTGTCGTCTTCCTTCAAGTGCTATGCTGGACATGATAGGAGAATGAGTGCTGACTGTAAACAATATTTGCAGAACGAACACCATGTAGGTGTTTCTTTTCTCCCCCGCTGGAGAACCCGGCAGGGCTCAAGCAGACAGCCACCTCTCGTGCTGCGCCCTCTGTGCCTCAAAAAGACGGGTTCAGGGTGGCTCGGGAGTTTAAACTCATTCGCATCCGGATCGTGTATGACGATCCATGCAATAACGAGGGATTCTAGAATATGCTGATGGTGAGATCCCTCAGCTTTTTGGCGATTAGCTGGAGTGCAGGACCTGATTTCGGTTAGACTACTTGCTTGATGGTCACCAGTTTACTCTAGGGCAAATGGGAACTACCTTAAGCTACCAAAGCCTACCTTTTTGTAGGTTCTTATTATAAACCCGACTATGGAATTTATAGGGACCCTACAAAAAAGTAGGGTTTGGTAGGTTCAGGTAGATAGATATCGGTCGCCACCATTGTCTGCTTGTTTAAGATCCGGAGCTGGATTCGAGGCGCCTTGTGGGTTTTCAACTTTCAGGGTTTAGGGTTTAGGGTTTAGGGTTTAGGGTTTAGGGTTTAGGGTTTAGGGTTTAGGGTTTAGGGTTTAGTTGGCTTTCTTGCACCTTCGAAAAGTCGCATAGAGCAGATGTTTATTCTCGGACCACGAGACCTGATGACCTCAAGATATTGTTTCGGGACATCTCTAGGCCTTTGGGCTAGGGTCCCAGACCTTCCAAAATCCCTTAATTAAGGAATATACCTTAAATGATATTAGGGATCCTACTATAATAAGGTATATTCCTTAATTAAGGGGTTTTGGAAGGTCTGGGGTTCGCCCAAAGCTCAAGCGGCATGTTTACGATTCAGGCTTTGCTGGGGGGTTAATTCGCAAACTGTTTACATGTGTATGATAGCCATGAACCCAACACGTACCTTATAAAAGGAACTCCAGAAAGTTGGAATATGGATTAATGGTAGGATCCCCTATAATTTACCTTAGAGGGGTTACGATAATGATATTCCAACTTTCTGGCTTCTAATTCTACTGTAAAGCCGATAGACGTGTGAGTTTTCTGTAGAGCATAGTCAGTAAGAGTGGGTTGAGAGTGATGTGCACTCTCGTCCGTTTCCGGCAGACACTGTGTGCCGCTGCTAGGATCCTGAATTCAGAATCCCTATATACTACAGTCAGATTCGCAGGGAAGCTCGGAACACAATTGTTTAGCGATCTAGTTTCTTTCTTGCTTGTTGGTTGCAGAGGTTTTGGGACACTAAACCTTAAACCCCGGTTTCGGAGGGTTTGGGACACTAAACCTTAAACCCTGGTTTCGGAGGGTTTGGGACATCTTCCTAGACCCGAAGCCCGAAAGTTGCGCCTCGCTAGGAACACGACCACTACGTGGAGGAAGTGTATGAGGAGACGGAGGCGCCCAGGATTTACGAGCTGGAGTTGGGGCTGGGTACATTTAACACGCACATAAATAAGTAAATATAAAAGTATATATATATATATATATATATATATGCTACCCCCCCCCCAGATACCAATAGAATTGTGTGTTTTTTGCTCTAAACCCTGCAATTCATGACACCAAGACACTCGAAGGTCTCAGATACTTCTAGTGCACGACCAGAAGGTGATTTTGTTCATCCCCTAGATCCCGCAATTCAAGACGCATGCATCCAAGAGGCGCTTAATACAGGGCCAGGCAAGCCTGACTACATTGATGCCATACACATACAGGATGCTTCAGCACATGATAGGTAGGTTTAATGGCACCCTCTGTATTACTTAGACGTGCCTCTAATCTATCACCCATCCTTCCTTATCACACTCTAATAATAGTACAACCCTAACACCAACAACTACCACTACCACTCCTCCTCGTGCTGCTGCTGCTATTACTGCTACTACCACATTACTACATGTTTAGTTAGGTCTATGTGTTTCAGCGTCATTCCACATCTTGCCCCAAATGTATCCAGGCGACCTTTTCCTAGACCATGTTTTCTCACCATAATGCTCCTGAATTTCGTATCATGATACTAAGTTAAATCCTGTCACATATCTAACTATTATCAAGATGGTCATAACATACCATCACAAGAACCGTACTACGACTACAATCTACTACTGATACTACTACTACCACTACTACTACTACTACTACTACTACTACTACTACTACTACTACTACTACGACTACTACTACTACTACTACTCCTCCTCCTCCTCCTCCTCCTGCTGCTGCTGCTGCTGCTACTAACTACTACTACTACTGCTACTACTACTACTATCACTACTATCACTACTACTACAACTGCTACTACTACTACTACTACTACTACTACCACTACTAGTCAATCCATAGTATTAAGCACGATTACACTGTACCTTTATCCTGTTATACTACTCCCGCCATACCCTTATGCTAATCATCATATTCCTGCCACAATGCCTTAAGCAAGCTTTTCCATCCTATCATAAATCAAAAAGCTCCCCATATTTATGGGTTTAGATGTAATTAAGGACACAGTATTAACATATCATTCACTTACATCAGTCTATCTCATTTACCTAACACACGTAAACAGTGCTCACTGAAGTAATCAAATATCACACTCATCACCCTAAACATAAAACGTCAGTGAGACTGGCAGCCAGAAACAAAACACACCCTTCTACACAAACACTTACAAAAATAAGGGTACATTAACTAATCATAGTGAACCCCAGAAAGTTGGAACATTGATTTAGGGTGATTAGTGTTTGATTTACTTTGCCTTTAGTATAAGGGCATTAGGATACTGATGTTTCAACTTTCTGGAGTTCACTGTAGAATAATTTACAATGAAACCAGATCTCAAGTTGACGGCAAAACAAAAATCTGCTGTAAGTCAAAGCTAACAGAGCGCGAGAAGAAAATCTGCAGTGCGTTTTGCGCGGGTGCCGCGCGCGTGACGGAAACCTTCCAAAAGATCGTTTGATTGAGACAGTACAGTGGTTTCGTTAATTTTATTGTAAAAGTGCTGTACTGTCCCAAAAAAATCAATCCTTTTTTGCAAAAGTGCTGTACTGTCCCAAAAAAACCGAAAAAACAATCTTCTACAGTCTTGGAGCAGCTGCCGTGTAGGGGCCTCCAATAGATTGGTTTTTTTTGGGACAGTACAGCACTTTTGCAAAAAAGGATTGGTGTTTTTGGGACAGTACAGCACTTTTGCAAGAAAAGCAACAAAAAACACTGTACTGTCCCAAAAAAACCAATCCTTTTTTGCAAAAGTGCTGTACTGTCCCAAAAAAAACCAATCTATTGGAGGCCGCTACACGGCAGCTGCTCCAAGACTGTAGAAGATTGTTTTTTTGGGACAGTACAGCACTTTTGCAAAAAAAGATTGGTTTTTTTGGGACAGTACAGCGCTTTTTCTAGTTTGCGGAGAAGTGTGATGCAGAGCGAGTACTCAAGTGCTGAGCATCCTGCTGCTATACTCAAAGTGGTGCAAGCGCCCTCTAAGGCCACAAAACGTTCATGGAGAGTCTTGTCACAAGTCTCAGCCAAGAGGGTGCTCGAATGCTCTGCTTTTGTCTCATGGTGCTGCCTGCAGAAGGAAAACACAGGAATGTATTGGTAACTGGGGGGGGGTACCATATATATATATATACATATTTGCATTCAACCCTAAGCCTTAAACCCTTGCAGCATCATTGTGAGTAGGGGCCATAGTATGATAAATTAAGCCTCCCAGCTGCTTTCGTTTGTTGCCTGCGCCCCTGGTCATCCTGGATTTGAGTCTAGACCCTTGTGTTTTCGTGCAGCCTCCTCTGTAATGGTCCGAACCTCGAAGAAAAAAGCCTGAGGGTAGATTCGGGGCCATAATAATAGCCTGTACAATTTTGCGGGTTCCTCATCATCAGTCTAGTATACTGGGCACCAACACCTTATTCTGAATATTAAGGCACCTGCAGTCCTACAGTATGCAATGCTAACGCTAGAAGTTGCTACGTAGTCTAGGATTTGGCTTGAGCACGTGCATATGTGGGTTTGGACAATGTCCATTACCTGAAACCCGCAGCCTAGGCCCCACTGTTACAAAGCCAGCGGAATCAAGGACAGTCAAATAGAGGTTCGTATCCTTTGAATCGATGATGTTCTGGATCAGGCCACACGTTTAGGGCTTCGGGTTGGCGTTCAGGTCTTAGGTTTAGTGAAGGTTCAGGGTACAGAGCTTGTGAGACCCGTTGTTTCTTCGGTTTGAGGTGAAAACAGAGCTACGAATACTTTCAGTTGGGAGCATCTGTTAGCCTACGTATACTCTGTTTGCTAAGCTCCCTTCTCCTATGAGTAAGTAGTAGTTTATTACTTCTTCATATGACTATTGAGCGCCGTTTACTTCTTGAACGCGAGGCTCTTGTGTGAGGCATGTAGACCTGCTGCAAATGCCAGAGGCTTTCCTAGAAGATTGAAGACAAAAGAACAGCGGCAGTATGAAGCTTTTGCAGGCTGATGGGTTTCAAGAGGCAGACCCAAAGGGTCCCATGTACCGATATAGTAGAATGTAGGGTTTCCATCTTAGGAATTACTATTATGACTTAGGGAAGTATCCACCCATAACAGTACAAAGGACCCTTTGGGGAAGGTTTCCAGAGCTCTGGCATCTTGATCCCTGCCGCCAGTAAGCCTGTGGCCACTCTCCCTTCTAATTCCTTATTATAATACGGCGCACCTAATATTTAGGGTACCCAAAAAGGGGCCATAATTTTGACAATTGGACGGTCAACCTCTGCTCGAACGGCCCTAAACCGTCGGAAACGGCTGCTTTCGGTCTTTGATCGCAATAAGAACCATGGTCTGGCAACGGTGTACCAGGGCCAGAATGCCTTCAGCGAGTACCTGGCTTCAAGCACATTTAGTGTTGAGCAATGTTTCTTTCAGCATGACACTCCCACTGCATGCGGGCACAGGCGCCTGCGACGACATCCGACGAGTTTGAGCAGTTTCTTATCACCTGGCTCAGGGCACGTATATAACTCCACAAAAAACGGGCAGGTATTTTGGGCTACAGGTAGGTCTAGGCTTCGGTTTGGAGGACAGTAATGCGCCAACAGTCCTGCTTCGACGATTCGTCTGATCGAGACTTCCTGGATGCTCTCGAAGCGCTTACTTGGAGGATCTTCGGGCTTAGTAAGTAAGGCTATTAAGTAGCCTAATTGGAGTTATACGTAGCTATCATTATACTTACCTCACTGAAACCTCTGGTTACTAAGTTCCATGATCCTCCAAGTGGAGTTGATAAATACTGTGATCAGCAGCATCAACAGCGGCAGGAGCACTGTCGCGACAGTCACAAGTCACCCAGACCCCCAAAGCCGAAGCCCTTCCACCCAATACCCTCAAAGCGGGCTTTCACCCCTAAGCCGTACTTCGGCTCTACAACCCGTCCTTCTGCAGGTGGTGCACAGCGTCGATACCGCCACCCAGGCTCGCGGCGCGACTTTCAATCAAGCATGGGTTGTTGACATTGGTCCCTAGTCCCTAAACCCCAAACTCAGGAACCCTAAAACCTAGGCCCTAGGTGCACCATGGTCCTTCAAGAGAGCCAGTACTCTGCAGTATCTAGACCCCAAAAGGTCATAGAGCCCCGTCCTAAACTCCGCAACCCTGAAGCTATACCCTAACCACTGTAAAACCTACCTGCTTAGGGTTCCCTATTAGGGTTTCTTTTTATGAGTCCTTAAGTTTTGCGGTTCCCCATCATGATTTCCTTTTATGAACCCTGAAAAAGGTAAGTTTGTCAGAGTCCAACAGAGCCTGATACAGGTGAAACGAACGTTTCGCAATCAAACCGAATACGATCTGACTAGCACCGTGCAGAGCCGAGTGAGAGCAACACACGCGTGGTTTAGGGCGTATAGGGTTTACAGGGTTTATAGGGTTTGTAGGGCTTGTAGGGCTTATAGGATTTATAGGGTTTAGGGCATGAAGGAGACGGGCTTGAATACGTTGGACGCTGACGCGAAAAGCACCATCGTGGGCATGGTGCAGAGGTTGCACGGAAGGCGAGGCAAGAGAGACGAGCCAAGGGAAACCAAGGTGGGGAAGGCACTCAGCTATTTGCTCCGCCATGGAGCGCCTGGCCGGTGGATGGAGGATGGTGACGTCCAGATCGTGCATGGAGACCGGCGAATCCACGTTCAGCAAGCCTTTCTAGTGCCCAGCCTGAAGTCTGTCTATCTGACAGCTCCACAACAGGGAAAGCCAAAAGCCCTGCACCCCTGTCTAGATCTTGCCGAGACGCTGCTGCACAGTACAACTTTCTCTCCAGGATAACCTACCTGGAGGGTCTGAGGTAGTAGAGGTAGACTTCTACCTGCCCAGGGTACATGGTATCCTACTCGCGGGTTGTGGTATACCTCCATAAAATGAGCTACTTACTAAGTCCCCCGACCCTCCAAGTAACGTATGTATGAGAACCTTCTGACAAAGAATCAGGAGAACCCTCCACTCCGGAACAATACACCCCAAAGAAGAAGCCGGGAGGCGAAAAGCACTACTCCCTAAAACATACCTCTTAATTATGGATTCTGTAGAGGGCTCTCATAGAATCCTAGGACTACAGTACTGAAAAGGAGTTAAACCCTAAGCCATCCTAAACCCTAGACCCTAAACCCTGAACCCTAACCCCAAACCTTAAACGGACGGTCGAATGAAGGCAATGAGCGTGACAATCAACGTGAACGTAGTCGGAGTCGAAATGTTGAGCTTTGATGACGTCGTCATGGGTGGGAAGTGAGTTGTTAGTGCACACTGGCTTTTGAGCAAGCTTCGGAGACTGTTGCTGCGGACAAAGAGGCTACTGCACTCAAAAAAACCTTAAACTCTAAACCCTAGACCCTGAACCCTAAGCCCCGAAACCCTAAACTCTAAAGCCTAAACCCTAACCCCAAAACCCTCAAAATTCAACCGCAGGCCCTGTCTGGTCCGCCGGAGGGAGCAACGGCCTTTCTCCAGAAGGCTAAGGCCGGCAATTGCCTGGGCTCCCCACGGTTGATGACTTGATGATATAAATGGGAGTTTCCGAAAATTCGGGGTACCTTATTTGGGGGTCCTTGTAATAAGGATCCTACTATCTAGGGTGCTATATTAGGATCCCCTATTTTCGGATACTCCCAAATCCTTCAAAGGGATCAATAGGGGGCTTCCTTTAAAAGGACCTACAGGGGTTCTTTAAAAGGGATCTATAGGGGGTTTAGGGTTTAGGGTTGCCCAGTAGTACATAGAAGCCCCGAAAGGTTCTATGTACTGTGATGGGGGATATTTCCCTAAGTCATAATAGCAGTTCCTAATATTGAAACCCTGCATTCCTACTTTTTTGGGGTACATACGGTTGATGATAAAAATCCTGCATTACCCATGGTAAGGAATATACCCCATAGTTTAGGGACCTGGAGGTCATGCAGGAGTTGTATCATCAACCGCAGTAATACCCTGTGGCCTGTAAGGGTTCCGTTAATAGCATATAGGGCTTATAGGGTGTTTTTAAGGGCATAGGGCTTATAGGGTTCCTTTAAGGGCATATATGGCTTGTAGGGTTCCTTTCAGGGCATTCAGGGCTTTTGTGGTTCCTTCAAGGGCATTTAAATGTAGGGCTTTTGGGGTTCCTTCCAGGGCTTATACAGGGCTTACTGTAGGAGTTTAAGGTTTGTTTTGGAGCGCGGTTTAGGTTTAAGTAAAGGGTGAAGCAGGTCTTGGGCACCAACTTTTTCAAGTGGGTTCTGATTCAATCAGGGCCCACACAAGCTCATGAAGCCAAGGATCTCATATTTGGGGTATCAGTAAAATAGGACGAGTCAAAAGTTTCATTGTGAGACATGTTTTTCGCGCTTGGCACCCTTACTACGGAAGTACAACTTGTGTAGGATGTAAAAAGCGGCCACCTAAGATTGTCAGAATTTCATGTGCAGGTTCGTGGGATTTGCTGTGCTTCGGGTCATGAAGACTACTCCTGCACCTGCCCACCTCACCCCCGCCCTAAACGGGCTATGTAGAGGAGTCTACAGAATAAGATTGCAAGGCAGCCAGGAAGGGATGCTACGATCCAGACTCTAGGTAGGCAAACCTCCGATCCGGGACCCAAAAGCCACTTCAACCCTAAACCTTTAGCTCCGAGGCAGAGAGCTCTCCATAGCCAAGCCTCTAAGCCCTATGGTTGATGATATAAATCCTGCATTACCTTAAGGGCCGGATACTATGGGAATTATGGTGTATTCCTTATTATGGGTCATGCAGGATTTGTGTCATCAACCCTAACCAACAGTAAAAAATGGGCGGCGTTCGGGTTCCCAGCACCCTCACCGTAAAGGGTTGAGACTTTCGGGTTGAGATGCCTATAGTCTACATATATACTTACATATACATATGTATATATATATATATATATATATATATATATATATATATATTTATAGTGTATATATAATAGGTGTATATGTGGGTTTATACATATATATATATATATATGTATACACATATGTGCAAGATATTTCTGTATAATTCTATATATATATATATATATATAATGAATCTTATAAGCCCTATGTAAGTCTTTTGCCCTTCCTTTTTCTGTGAAGCCGAGCAGGGCTCCAAGTCCGTGTCGAAGATGCTCCGTGCGGTGGAGCGTGTGGTGGCCCCTACTTCTGGTGTAGGGTTTAGGGCTTTGGGGTTTAGGGTATAGGGCTTAGGGTTTAGGGTGCAGGGTTTAGGGTTTAGGGTTTTAGGGTTTAGGGTTTAGGGTTTTAGGGTTTAGGGTTTAGGACTTTGGGTTAGGATTGCGTTGGGTTTTCCGGTGAGAGCACTTTTTCGGGGGTTGGGGTTTTAGGGTCTGTGGGGTTTAACCATTGCTTTGGGATGCTTTGGGTGTGGGGCTTAGACTCCTTTTCCCCTTTGATACTCACCACCAAATCCACAAGAAGCTGAGGTCGACCCATCTATTAGAGCTGCCCCCACCCTGCAATAGTGCCTATAAGGATTATATTAGGGCCCTATGATGTTCCTATTATACCACTATTACAGGGTGGGGGCAGCTTCTGAGGTATCTAGCATTTCTTGGTCCTCGGTAAGTGGCTTTATGAAGCTATGATAGAAGGACGTCGCGAAATCTTCCTACGGTGCCTTATCAACCCTAAACCCGTAAACCCTAAACCACTCAGCCCTAAACCCCTAAACATCCCAAACCCAAAATTTAAACCCGAAGTTCAACGGTTGAAATAGTGACTGAGTCCCCAAAGCCTACACAGAAATTCGGAGGGGAGATTCTCGAGACTGTTGGAAATAAAGGGACCTTAAGAAACAGCATTTCACTATTTCCAGGGCCGGTTATTACAATGGCTATAGTGTAAGATGCCCCAAAACCGTAAACCCCACACCCCTAAACCCTAAAGCCCTAAACCCTAAGCCCTAAACCCTAAAGCCCTAAATCCAAACCCGATTCGCAACATGAAGGCCCCTTTTGTGACAGCTCCCTGAGCCCCCCAAAGCTGAAAGGGTTTGTTCTTCCTGTAGGGCTTCGGGGTTTAGGGCTTATGAGGTTTAGGACTTTGGGGTTTAGGCTTTATAGGCTCTATAGGGGTTTAGGGCTTCAGAGGGGATGGTTGGATTTTTAGTAGGGGTTTAGGGTTTCAGAGGGGATGGTTTGGTGGATTGCTCCCCCGTAAACTGCGAAACCACCGTCGTTTGTAACGTATCAGACCCACGTTCCAGTTTCCGAGGTGGCACTGAACGCTGCGGCTGTTTCTCAACTCAAAAGTCCGGTTTAGTTTGGAATGTCTGGGCCGCAACCCTAAACCCTAATGCGACACCCTGCTGCGGCTCCCCCAAAGCTCCGCATTCTGGAAGTGCCGGTAGTCACAAGCCGTGTAGTTGTATACCTCCTAACCTGAACTGAACGGGGCTATCCGACCCTAAACCCTAAACCCTAAACCCTAAACCCTAAACCCTAAACCCGAATCATAACGGTGTACAGCATACTCATTATACCGATTTTCCGAACTCCCCGAAACCCGAAGTCCGCTAAGAAACCCCTAGACCCTGAATCCGTTAAGATCCCTAAACCCTAAACCCTAAACCATACAACTCTAAAGCCTAAATCCTAAACCCTAAACCCTAGCAACCTTTGTTAGTCGCCATCCAAGAAAGTTATCTCCCACCTCCATACCCCCATGAGGGCCCACAGCCAACCCTAGGATCCCTTCAAGGGAACCCCATCGACCAGAAAGCAAGCACTTACAGGAACCCTGACTTCAAGAATTCGTGGCTAGCAAGTAAGTTCGTTAAAAACAAGTGCAGCACTTTTTTTTAGCCCTGAAATTAAAGAAGCTCGACATCCTCAGCAACACCCTGCCGTGCGCAAAGCCATGGATGAGCCATGTTGCGCGGAGAGCTCGCTTCTTGGCCGGCTACGGTTTGAGGTTTTAAGCTGGACCAACGTGTTAGGGCTTTTTGCGGTTGAGGTTTAAGTTCAGAGTTTCCAATGGGGCTTAGTGAGAATGTTTTGAGAGTAGGGAGGGTTTTAAGGTTTGGAGTTTAAACTTTACCCTAAACCCTAAAGGTTTTCGGGATAAGTTCCGGTCCAGGGCCAGGGTTCAGGGTTTGCCGGGCCAGGAGTTTACAAAGGGGGTTCTTACGTTAGGAGTTTGGAAGGGCTCTCTCTTTAAGGATGATAATAGGGTGTTATGAAGGGGTTGAGGGTTTAGGTATTTAGGCTCTAGGGTTCAGAATTCCTCAACTGTAAACCCTAAAACCCTAAAGCCCTAAACCCTATATGTCCTAGGTTTAGGGTTTCGAAGACCACAAATCCAGGCAGGTGACTCCTAACTTCACAAACTTGGCACTCCGAAACCATCATGAATCATATACCCTTATAGTCCCTATTCTAATTATTGAGGCTATGAGGCAGCTATGTTATCACCACAGACTCAATCATGTTTGGTTTCAGCCCCTAGTCTTCTTATTGAGGCTATATACGCCCCCTATATCACCACCACATCCTTTTCTGAAGGTCTTGATAAGTGTATGGGACCGGCATGGCCCGGTGTAGCAGCCTATGGAGAATGTGGCAAGGTAGACCCACATCAGCACAAACACCCGAGATCGCTGCCTAGCCGACCTAGCCCTAAGCGTTAGGGTCCTGCAAGATCTTAAACCCTATAGACTAAACCGCGTATGCCCGAATGCTTTCGCTAACCTCTAAACCGTCGCCTTAGGACAGGCCCTGCCTCCCACACCCGAAACCCTGAACCCTAAACCCTAAACCCGTAAACCCTAAACCCCAAACCCTAAACCTTCAACCGTAAACCCACACCCGAACCCCAAAGACCCTTTGCCCAACACTTTGAACCCAAGGTTGGTCGTGCCGTGGTTGCAGAAAGGGCATTCGGATTCGTCGTTGTCCAGTTGTCAATGCGCATGTACTGTGCATGTATGTACATATGTATGCATATACATATATATATATATACACACACACATGCAGACATATACACCCATACACACATATAGTCTTTTGGGAGCGCTTCTACATATGGTTTATGCACCTGCTCGTAGTTTTTGTTGAGCCTGGTTCTGGAAGGAAAGAGGTTTCAGGGCCTACAGTAGAAGCCAGAAAGTTGGAATATCATTATCGTAACCCCTTTAAGGTAAATTATAGGGGATCCTACCATTAATCCATATTCCAACTTTCTGGAGTTCCCTTTATGATCGCCGGAGTCTTAGAATCCTAGAAGCGTTTGGTTGCCTTTGTGGGTCCTGTGGTGTGTGTTTGGTTTACAATACAGGATCCTTGCAATCCGCATGACATAATGCAGGAACCTGGTTAAGAAACCCTGGTCCCATAACGACAAAATGTTAGGATCCATGGCTAGCAAGGACTCAAGGTTTCTTGTTCAGGTTCCCATATTGCTTGTTTGGGGATTGGAGAGGATCTTGATTTCCAGATCTTCCCCACATGAGTACTTCGAACCTGGCGGCATGATAACTGAACTCTGAACCCTAAACTCCGCACCTATCCTCATCGGTCTCCTCCATGTTCCGAGATACGGCGTAGCGCTGGTAGGGTTCAGGGCTTGAAGAGGCGGCTCAGTCAGCAAGTTACAAAGAGGTTCGTTCAGAAGACAACCCCATTCGAGTACCTTCGGAGACAACTTGAGGGTGTTAGGGTTAGTATGATTAAGTCAGGGAAGTTTACAACGGATAATGCTACTGCTTGTTTACAGCATGAAGCGGCTCTGCTAACTGCCAGGCTTAAATAATTTGTTATAATTTGTTAGACTTCGGCTGTTGGAATGAGGTTTTGGGGTCAACGCCCTAAGCCCTAAATCCTTTTCAGCCTGATGGGTTTTCGTCTTGGGGTTTCGAAGCCGAATACGGGAAACCCAAAGTACGGCAAGCCACAAGTCCTACTATAGTATAACTAACAATAAGAATCTTTCCTTGCAGTTCCTATATGTGTGTACTATACTATCCCCCAAAGCCCTCTTCAAATTATGATGCCCCCATACCCGGAGCTTCTGTACCTTGGGGGGATACTGTGGCGTCAGCCTACTTCTCCAACAGAGTATAAGTGGATACGATTCAGCTACAGGAAACCCCATAAAGTTGGAAACCGGATTAAGGCCAAATAGTGCTGGGATTCCCTAAACGTTACTCTTAAGGATTGAGGCTATTGGGTTTCCAACTTTTTGGCTTACCCTAAACCCTAAACCCTAAACCCTAAACCCTAAACCCTAAGCCCTAAACCCTAAACCCTAAACCCTAAGCCCTAAACCCTAAGCCCTAAACCCTAAACCCTAAGCCCTAAGCCCTAAAGCCCAAACCCTTCCGACCTCTGAGCTTGTTGCAACCGAAAGACAGTTTTGGCTGCACGTAGGGCTTTCGCTCTTTCTGAAAGCAAAAGCCTAAACCGTGGTACCAGATGCTTGCAAGGAAGGCCAATAAGTTCCGCTACAGTTTGCTCTGGGACCTAGGCCCTTCATGGGCGATTTGTTTGGACTTCGGGGAAGTATTTGTTCCTGGTATTCCTGTGCGTCCGGTTGCTGCGCAAGGAGTTCTACTGGGGCGCCTTTTGCTGCTGGTGGCCGGCGGAGATACTCGGCATTCATTCTGGGGCTTAGGGTAGGGTTCCAGCAAGTTCCAATTTTTTAAAGTCCTCCAAGGCTGTCCTAGGTGCTTCGCCCTTGACCTTATCGCGACCCCAAGCCCAAGACTGAAACCCGTCACCCCAAACCTAGAGTTTCTGATTGGTCGTCATTGGTCGTTCTCTTTCCAGACGGAACATGGGACAAGGTGATAAGGGCTTGGGGTTTAGAGTTTCGGGCATAGGATTATGCAGGAAGCTAGTTCGTGTGAAGCATACATGTGGGAGCGACATTGCATGCGGCTCTTGTGTACCTAGCTCCATCCTAACTCCCGGGGTTCAGGGTTTAGGAGCTTAGGTTTTTCTGGGGCAGCATGTCGTTCGTCCTCGGAGATACGTCACGTCAGGACGTGAGGATGTTTGGGCATAACGCTGCTCCTTGGGGTTGATTTAGAGTTAAGTTTAGGGGTGTAGGGCTTGGGGGTTGAGGGTTTGGGGTGTTGGGGTTTTGGGGCATCTTTTTGCGTTTAGGTCCGTTCTATGGCACAGGGCCGGTTCAGATTGTTGTGCAGCAGATGGCTCCATGCTTCTAATAGAAAGCGCGCAGAAGCATTGTCTGTGCATTTCTCTGTACACCGAGACCAAGAACACAAATCCCAATCGATGGTGGTTCGTCTTCGGGAGTACTTTGTTTAATTTCATGCACGAGGAAAACTAGACACACGAATAACCATTACTAATTGCAACCTCCCGGGGCTCGTGCTTCAGAGTTTTGGAAAATGGACGGTGATCGCAGATCTGATCGCAGGTAAATACTGCTCACTGAAGGTGGTCTCAATTTTGGCCTTTTGAGGCTGTATGTACACCCAAACCCTAACCCTAAAGCCCTAAAACTTTAAAACCCTAAAACCCTGAATACGCCCCAAGCAAACCCGCCAAATAGCGACTGCAGCTCCTAACCTCAACCCTGCGGCGGCTTGCTTACTTTCCCATAACGGTGATTGTAGGGTTCTATAGGGTTCTCTTTAAGGGCAAAAATGGGGTTCTATAATAGGGTTACGGAAACCCTCTCTGAAGGCTTAATTGTAAACTAAATAGATTTTGGATCCCCCTTAAAGGCCCAAGCATACACTAGTCTAGCAACCTGGCGCCTTGGGGCATGTCCTGTCTTATTCTCGTCTAGACCCCATCTGGACCGAGCCTGTGGAGAGGAAGGGCCCCTTGCAGCCTACTTGCAGGCTCATACCCTACCCCTTTAAGGTGTCTACCTTTCTATACAACAGATCCTAACCATGAAACCTAGGCATCCTCAGAAAAAGTGGCAGGGCCTACGAGCCTGCAGGTAAGCCCCCAATTTACATCTCGGCCCTCCGTCCTCATCCTTAACCCATCATCATAGGGACCCTTACAAGGGGGAGGGTGGTAGGGGACTCTACAGGCCTTGTTCGGTCCTTACTATGGGTATTAAGGCCCCCTACCCCCTTCCCCCTACCCCCCTAAGGGTCCCTAGGACATCAACTCTGAACCTAAAAGCCTTAAATCCTAGACGTCCCTAAACACACTCTTTTGGCCCTGAACTTTTCTCGACCCAGACCTGCCTCAGCCCTGAAGCCCTCCTTGACACAGTCCAACTTCATAAGAATACTCTTAGGGGTACTTAGAAATAATTTTAATTTTTGGTTATTATAGTCCCTAAGAAACGGCTACAATTATATTTTGTGCTAAGGTTCTAATAAGTTCAGTATGGTTTGCTACAACTTTATGTCAGAAGCAAAAGCCGTTGTAAGAGCTCCATAAAGAGCCTAGACAAGCATCCAATAACCCAAAGGGTCCGAGGTACGGTTATGCGGCATACCTCCCCAAGTCATGATAGAATTTCATAAGATAGAAACCCTACATTCCACTACTTCAAGCAGTTATTATAGAACCCTTATGGATCTCTTCAAGGAGCCCTTATGGTAGCCTCAAGACCCCTTCTGGGCACCGAATCCGTTCCCTACATCCGTGCCAAGGCCTTCATCAGCTCTACAGACCTGTGCCTGGAGCAGTCGCTCGCCTTCTACGACCCGAAGGGTTCCCTTTTAAGGGGTTATTGTAGGGTTCTATAATACGGTCCTCTTTAAGGGTACTTTATATAGGGTTCTATAGTAGGTACCCTTTAAGGGGTGTTTTTGGGTTCTACAATAGCCCTTTAGGGTCCATGTGCCCATGTGGTAGAAACTTGGGCTCTAAAGTACCTCAAGAGGGACGACAGTGAAGCCAAAGCATAGACGAAGTGAGCAAATGAATCAAAGAAGAAAAGGAGGGACCCTTAATAAGGACCCCTAGGTATATACCCCTTATAATATAGCTATTATATACCCATTATATAGCCCATTATGGGGTAGGGGTCCCCATTAAGGGTCCCTCCTTTTCCCCTTTGAATGAAGCTTCAGGGCAATGCCTACAAACCCGATCATCAAGAGGGCCCTAATGATCAGAACATGCTTCGTTCAAGGGTCCCACAGTACGATTCTTTTGGGGGGTTCTGTAGGGGGTGTAGGATGGTCTCGGGTATAGGAGAAGAGCTACGATCTTAGTTATGGGGACCTAAACCCTAAACCCTGAACCCTAAACCCTAAACCCTAAATTCTAAACCGAACCCTAAACCCTAAGTTCTAAACCCTAAATTCTAAACCCTAAACCCTGAACCCTGAACCCTAAATTCTAAACCCTAAACCCTAAACCCTACGGAACACTGTCAGACCATTTATTCTGAGCCCTAAGGCCGCGAGCTGGCCCTGGTCCGGAAAGCCTCTAAATTAGGGACCCAAAAAAGCACATAAGCATAAGCATTTTGTAGGGACATTTTAGGGGTTTAGGGTTTAGGGTTTAGCCTTCCATATTGGGCTTCATTTTAGATAAGGGGGCTTATATGGGACATCCCTATCCTATTTTTTGCTTACGTGCATTTTGGGGGCCCTACTAAACCCTGGTGACAGTGCTCCACAAGAAGCCTACCAACCCTAAATACGAACCCTGCCGGAACCTGATGGATAACGAAAGGTAGAATTGAGGAACCTTTTGACACAACCCATGAAACTAGATGAAATGTTGATTTACATCTGTTGTTTCTTGGTTGAAGGGCTTACACGTGCAAAGAGGGTTCGTGTTTGGTTCGTTTTTTGTGTTTAGGGTTTGAGTTTTCTTCGTCTATAGCTCCCTCAGAAGACGTTTAGCATTGCGGACTTTGGACATCTTTGTTGCTGGTACTTGTTTCAGTCATTCTCCACATGCATGGGCCGAGAGCCCTCCATCAGATGGTCTGTACACTCAAAAGGACTCGGAAGAAAGGTCTCTGCAGCCCAACCCTGCATAGGTTCTGTGCCCATAATTGGAGGTACTAACTCCAAGACGGTAGTACAGGTTGTTGTTTCCATTGAAGGCATTAGGCTGACGATCCGGGAGACGGGATCGCGAGCTTTATAATTTAAGGTGTTTGAAGGGCCTTGGAGGAGGGTTCCGTTCCGGCCTGGCTAAAACCCTAAACCTTAAGACTTTGTAGGTTTAGTGTTCTGGCTTAGTTTCTGATTCTCGGGCTTCGGTTTTTTTCTTGCCTCGCGGCAGCCCCGCCCAAAACCCCAAAACAGTGCATGACTTCGCATGGTCGGATTTGTGTTCGTTTAGGGTTTGCTGTAGGCCCTTGCAGCAACAGGCTCTCAATGTGGAAACGCCGAGGCCCTGATACGAGATGCTAGCCCCTTTCGATAACTACTGCTGCAGTTCAGGTTTAATTACCAAACAAACCGTACCTGAATTTTTCACATACAGCCGTCTTCTGCCTAATTACTAAGTCCCCTCACCTTTTGATTTGAGCGCCCAAAATTCACAATTAACCTGAAACCCGCACCCCGTTGGGCCTCAGCCCCAAGCTGTCGACATCTGTTCGACCCTAAACTCCCAGAACCCGAAGCCCCAAGCGGCAAAACCACAACGCCGAAACCCTAAAATTCCGGACATAACTCTGCAGCGGGAAAAGAGTGGAAGAAGAAAGGCCTGAACCCCGAATCCCAAGCTATAAGCCCAAGCTCTAGACTCTACCTAGACCCCCCAACTGCCTTCCAAAAAATACCCCAAATACCAACTTTTCTGGACCAGAAGAGATCCATTAAAGGGCCCTTGGGGGGTCCTGGTAAAGAACGAATCCCGAATCATAACTAGGACCTATAGAGTAGGCCCTGACATTCCCTTTTTCTAGGGTTCAGGTTCCCTTCATAGGCCCCTTTAACCCACAAGGGCACCCTTTTTATTCCTAGGCTATTCTTGTGTCTAGATAAACCTAAGCTCTAGACTCTCAAGAACAGCCCCATGAGCCTGAGGTTGAACTCGAGCTTCATGAAGCCCCTAAACCCCTAAACCCTAAAGCCTAAACCGTGAGGTTGAACTCGAGCTTCATAACGCAGTACGGCGAACTTAGCGCGTGGCGCCTTGGGCTCGAGTTGGGAGTTTCAAAAAATAGGGGTACCTTTAAAGGGATCTATAAGGGTTCCTTTAAGGGATCTATAAGGGTTCTATAAAGGGTTTAGGGTTTATAGGGAGTTTCCGAAAATAGGGGTACCTTGTTTTGGGGGTCCTTGTGATAAGGACCCTACTACTTAGCGAATTATATTGGGGTGCCCTATTTTCGGAAACTCCCAGTTTTTTGATGTAATTCCTACCCATAGGCTCCACTGTAGTTCCTATTTTCGACTACATATAGGATCCTAATCCTAAATATGAACCACAAAAGGGAACTACAATGCAGCCTATAGGTATTTGCCCGAGTCGTCAACTTGTGTTTGTGCACGGGGGGTTTTGGGGTGGTGGAGGGGTTTATGTAGAGAACCAGCGGGAAACGAGGTTTCACTCAAGCAGCCTCCCTGGAACCGGTCTTTTCATGAGCTTTGGGGTTCTGCGGTTCAGGATTTTCTGATTTTGGGCCGAAGGGTTTGGGAATTCACAGTAGAAGCCAGAAAGTTGGAATATCATCATCGTAACCCCTTTAAGGTAAATTATAGGTGATCCTACCATGAATCCATATTCCAACTTTCTGGAGTTCCCTTTAGGCTGTGTACATTTTGTGCTCTCTGGCTGCCGTCGGGCTCAGGAGTCTTGGATCTACCCAGACCTTCCACAGTCCCTTAATTAAGGAATATACCTTAAATCAGATTACGGGCCCTATTGTAATTTCAGGTATATTCCTTAATTAAGGGATGTTGGAAGGTCTGGGTATGCCTTCCAGCTGCGGGGGGGAAGGGGGGGTTGCATGTTAGGGCTGCCCCTTACGATCCAGGGACACTTTGAGGGTTTGAAGGCTCAGGTATTCAACTTTCGGCTTGTGGGTTTAAGGCACGTAACAGAAAACCCCCCCTAAACCCTAAAGCCTAAACCCAAACCCTAAAGAATCCACTAAACCCTACACGGCCTTGGATTTCGGGGTGTGTGTTTAAGGCATTTCAATGAGGCTCGCAAGACTTGGAATCAGACTCTGGGAGCCGTGGTTCCCCAGTAGTACCCTGTCGACCTCTTTGTTTTAGGGTAGGGTTTAGGGTTTAGGGGTTTAGCGTTTAGGGTTTAAGGTTAAACATAAATACCAGGAAAAAAGGTACCGGTTTCGCCAAGGGGACACTGGGGAGCCTAGGAATAAGACTACCAATTACCCAGGACGTTGGAGGCTCGGGGTGTGGTTTAGGGGTTTAGGGTCAAGGGTTCAGGGATTACAAATTACTACACGTGACAAGTGCCCTCAACAAACCCTGCCTACATCTAGCCCACCAAATAACTGCTTATCTAACCCTAAGGCTCCAAATGGCCCAAAGTAGGTAGTACTTATAGACTTTAGACCCCAAAGTAGGTACTATTTGTACACTTGGAGTCTTAGGGTAAGTCCCCGACTCTCCACACAGGGCCCGGGGTTAAGTCGAGAATGTGCATGCAGCTCGAGGTATTCTGATGTCAGTTCAAGAGCTTCGAGCTGCGCGCCCCTAAACCCTAATGCCATATCTATAGGGTCATCCCCTACCCCTTTGTTACCTAGCTTTATACTTTGGACCTGTTATATAGAAAAGTAGGTACCCCAAAAAACAGGGGAGGGTATGACCCTGCACGTAAACCCCGATAACCTTCTGGGTTTCGGGCCTTGAGACCCCAGGCAAAAGCCGACCAAGGTATGTCGTCGCAAATATCTACTCGACCGTCTTCGGCTTCTACACGGTGCCTCGACGAAAAAAACCCAGAGCCCGAGGGCCTAAGAAACTCTAAGCCTCAAACCCAAAGGGTCCTTTGTACTGTTATGGGGGATACCTCCCTAAGCCATAATAGGAATTCCTAATATGGAAACCCTACATTCTACTATATCGGTACATGGGACCCTTTGGCAAAAGCAAGCTTCAGTTTTGAGGTGTGTGCACTTGTCTGGAAGGAAGGGCCTTAAACGTCGGGTTGTAGTTGAGTTACACTTAGGGAAGTTGGTGTGTTGCTCGGGGCGCATCATTCTGAAATTTGAAAGCTTTTCAATGGCCTTGCCCAAGCACTTGAAACCATAAACTTGAAACCGAGAAATCAGATGCCATAAACCCTAAAATCTGAAACCCTCCCTAAACCCTAACCCCAAACCCTAAACCCCAAAAAAACAATAATTCCTTGTCCCTAAACCCTAAGCCCCAAACCCTGCACTCGAAATTTTAATCAGCCAATTTCAACAACCTTAAACCCTTATTCGGATACCTTATGTTGGGGTCCTTGTAATAATAGTCCTACTATTTAGGGTACCATACAAACCCTCAACCCGACAACCCGCTGACACCGAACCAAAAGGAGCTGCAACAACAACGACACCAGCACCTGCGCCTCCCAAACCCTTTCCGTGTGAGCCTGATAGCCCCCCTGACTAAACCTTGAAACCCTGAACCATAAATCCTGAGTAAGGCTAAGGATCACACAAAATAAACCCTAAACCCCAAACCCTAAACACCCTAATCCCTAAACCCTATATGCCATATACCCTGAACCCCTGAACCCCGAACCCTAAACACCAAAACCTAAAATGTGAAGGGTGTATGGACCGCTTTCCCTTGGAGGGATTCTGTCTGCAGGCGGAAAAAGGCGTTCACAAAAAACACACCTAAAATGTGAAAGCCCTAAACCCCTAAACCCTAAACCCTAAACCGAAAGCCCAGGAAGTGCTGGTGCCGTGGCAGTTGGACAAGCGCGTGCCCAGGGCAGCCTTTTGGATTCTCGGGCCGCTCGAGCCGATATGTGTACGAGAGCTTTTGAAGGGTTTAGGATTTGGGGGCTTGAGGGTTCAAGTTAGGGTTTAGGATTTGGGATTGAGGGTTTGGGGTTTAGGGGTCTGAGGTTTTGGGGTTTAGGGTCTGAGGCTTTGGGGTTTAGGGTCTGAGGGCTTGGGTTTTATGGCTTGGGGTATAGCGCCTTAGGGTTCCGGGCATAAGGGTGGGCAGGTGAAAAGGGCTTTATGGCTTGATAAGGCGTTATGTACATGCTTCTGCTGATGATATAAATCTTGCATTACCTTAAAGACCCTAAACTATGGGAACGATGGTATTTTCCTTTTTGTGGGTAATGCAGGATTTATATCATCAACCGTTCTGAGAAAGCTGGATTATTACATGTATGTTGTTGCTGTTATGATGAAGGTTTTCGCTTGCATGGATGCTCCAGAGCCGCTGCGCAGGTCGCGCTTCCTGGGTCCCAACATCATCCCAGAGAACATTCTGGGACGGCAAATGCTCAACGTGGCAGCGCCGGTTACCGCGACCTCGGTTGCTCTCGCACCAATGCCAAGCCCTTCCGAGTTCACATCCAGCGCCGGCGCTGCGCGCACTCCAGGGAGTATCCTCCACTTCCGGGCAGCACGACGGTACTGCCGTGGGTGCACCGGGACAAGGAGCTGGCACCTTTCTACATGGCGGGGAAAGGTGCAGTCGACATGGTGGAGGGTGCCGTCCATCGAGACGAACGCGGCCGTGCCAGACGCAAGCCTACGCCATTGCGGGTTCTGAAGTGGGTTTGAGAAGGGTTCCGTAGAGGGTTTCCAAGGCTCCTGTTTGCGGATGCTACAAGGGTGTTACATGGCCTAAAGCCGATACCTAGACTCTATAATCCTAAACCCAAACTCCCCAAACCCTAAAGCCCTAGCTGGATCACCACAGGTGGCCAGATTTACGCCCCTACGGTTTTCGCTTGCTTGTTTACGCCCCTTTGTTCGACAATGGTGAATTTACGCCCCTTCTTAGGGTATTATTCGCCTTTTTATGGTCTTTCTACGCATTTTCGATGCTTTTTCTACGCTTTTGTATGTCCCTTTTGGTGCTGGTGTTCTGAGAATTTACGCTCTTTATGGCTTGGCTTTGATGCATTGTGATGCCCCTTGGCACAATTACGCTAATTACGCCCCTTCTTTCCGGTATACGACATTTACGTCCCTTTCCCAAAGGACCAATAATTGCTTATGCTTTCGGTGACACAGGTAAACCCTAAATCCGAAATCCTGTGAACAGGTCCTGGGTCATGCTGTGGGACAACGGTTGCCGCCTTGCCTGGCTGTTCCTCGAGCGAGCTGCCCGTGCTGCAGGCCAGGGTTTTAGGGTTCAGTGTCTATAGGGTTGAAGGTTTACATGCTTAACCCAAGCCATGCATATGCTAGGAGGATTACCTTTTTCTGGGGTTCTACACTCTAGGTCCTGTAAGAGGTCTGCTGTCTTTGTAAAGGGAAGTGAAATGAGAATTGCAGGTCCTCCGGCGAGGTTACAGGCAAACCTCGCAAAACATGCAACCCTCAGCCCTAAAACGCGTAAAACCCTAGAGCCCTGCGCTTAGAAGCCCATGGCTTTGAGCTAAACCACTTCGCAGAAGCCGCGGATTAAGGTTTAGGGTTTAGAGTTTAGGGTTTAGGGTAAAGGGTTTAGGGGCCCCACCTTTGGAACCAGATAGGTGCATAAACGCAACCTAATTATTGAAAGTGTTCTAAGACTTTACAAGTATTGGACGCAGGCTTCAAGTCTTAACTTTAGGGAAATAAAGCGAGCTCGTTTTTTATCCCAAGCCCCACTGACCCCGATAATCCCTTTACTGACCCCGGTAGGACCCTGCAGAGGAGCCCTTAAAGCCTTAAAGGAACCGCCCTAAACCCTAAACTCCTGAACCCAACGCCCTATAAATCCTAAACCCTTTATTAAACCCTAAACCCTAAAGTCTTAAACCCTAAACCCCTTATTCCGTTTTTGTAGTCCTAGGTTCCTTATAAGCTACCCAAAGCCCTGTTTATTCCTAGGTTACTGGGCGTCCTAGTAAAGGAACCCTATTCCCTACTAATAACCAGACAGTCCTTGAGCTAAGTATAGGAGCCCATATAGACCCCTTTAAAGGAACCCTAAGAACCCCTAAAGGAAGCCTAGGAACCCCGTCCAGGAACCCTAGGAACCCTTAAAGGAACCCTAGGAACCCTTAGAGGAACCCTAGGAACCCTTAAAGGAACCCTAAAGGCACCCAAAAAACCCTTAAAGGAACCCTAGGAACCCTTAAAGGAACCCTATTCCCTACTAAGAAGATCAGGGGAGGCTCCGAGCCGGACAGCGATGATCACCTGGGCCATGGGGAATGCGACTCGCCTCCGCCCATGCAGGGCTTCGGGTTTAGGCTTTACGGGATTAGTTTAGGGTTTAGGGGATTAGTTTAGGGTTAGGGCTTCGGGTTTAGGGTTTATAGGCTTTAGGGCTGCGGGTTTAGGCTTTAAGGTATAGGGTTTAGGGTTTGAAGAGTTCAGAGTTTAAAGGGTTTCCGGTTTATGATTCGTTTAGGGTTTAGGGGATTAGTAGGGTTTAGGGTTTATTGGGTTTCGGGTTTATAGGGCGTACAGCGTACAGGGTTTATAGGGTGTATGCTTATAGGGTTTATAGGGTTTATGGGGTTTAGGATTTCAGTTTCGGGATTAAGGTTTCGAGTTTCGGATTTAGGGTTTCGGGTTTAGGGTTTTTAGGGCTTATAGGGCTTATGGGGTTTATGGGGCTCCTGGGGCTTATAGGGTTTCTAGGGTTTAGGGGTTTTAGGATTTAAGAACTCAGGAAACCGGCTTTAGGATTTAAGGTTTCGGGTTTATGGTTTTTAGAGTTTAGGATTTCGGCATTAGGGTTTATAAGGTTCAGATCATATAGGTTGCAGGATTTCTGGATTAGGGCTTAGGATCTAGGGTTTCAGGTTAAAGTTTTAGGGTATAACCCTAAACCCTAAACCCTAAATATATCTATTATAGGGTAATCAAACTCGGGGGTTGGGGTCTTTGGGGTGTAAGGGGTTTAGGGTTTAGGGGTTTAGGGTTTAGGGTTTAGGGTTTAGGGGTTTAGGGTTTAGGGTTTAGGGATTGGGGTGTAAGGGCGCCGAGTCCTCAAGAGCATACCTTCTTTAGGAACCATACAGGGGAATCATAAGAAGGAGGCCAGGAGGGTCAGGTTTTCGTGGTTTAGGGGGTACCTGAACCCTGAATAGCCTACTCTTTCTAAGGCTTCTGATTATGATTGCCCTACTTCTATAAGTAAGTCCGTCAAAAGGTCGGTTTGCTTGAGTGCAGGTAGGGCTGAGGGTGGCGGGTCCAGGCCAAGAACCTAGCCTAGGGAATCCGGCGGAGTACGTTTATTCCCAGACCTTCCAAAATCCCTTAATTAAGGAATATACCTTAAATGATATTAGGGATCCTACTGTAATTTAAGGTATATTCCTTAATTAAGGGATTTTGGAAGGTCTGGGTTACGGCTTACTTGCAGCTTCAGGCAGAGTGCATGCTACACCAAGCACGGGTTTTAAAAAGTAGGTCGCCGTCCGTTGGTGTTCATGTAGGATTAGCTCAACCGTTCCGTTCAATTACGACACTCAGCCTTCATAGTACGTTTTGGAGAGCCTTGTACTCTTACTACGGCTGCTACTGTTACTGCTACTGCTACTACTGCTACTACTACTACTGCTACTGACCCTGCATCCTCCGAGGATGTCAACAGCCTTCTCCTCGTCCCCCTCGCATGTTCCTACTTCGCTTCTACGCGCCCGTCAGAGGTCAGATGGGGCTAGTCTTAGGGGTTTATAGGGTTTTAGGGTTTAGGGTTGGTTGGGGTTGAGGAGTTAGGGTTTTAGATGGGGCTATTTCGACTGAGCAGCCCGCCGCCTGATGCGACAACAGGGGTCGAGTGATTAGGGGCTGGGTTTAAGAAATGTAACTATAAACTCGCAGAGACGAAGCTTTCGGGCATTTCGCATCAGCTACCTTGCTTCATGTAAACCCTAAAGCCTAGACCCTGAACCCCTATCCCTAAACCCTAAACCCGAAACCCCTGTCTCTAAACCCTAAATCCCAATGACGGGCAGCAGCCTCCTTAAAGTTGAGCACGTTGGATTCGTTTAGGGATACGCCTGGATTTTGAGGCGAGATCTACCGATGGGCCAAGCAGCTTAGGTTGCACGCTGTGACGCAGCGCCTCGACGACGGCCTGCCGGTATGCAGCCAGTGCTCCTGGACCGGGAGGTACTTGCAGGATCATGTGACTTAGTAAGTAAGGTTATAAATAGGGTAACTATAGTTACAATTAGTCCTAACCCCAATTAGGGTACTTAGAACCTTACCTGCTAAGTTCCATGATCCTCTAAGTACGACGAGCGTGTGCACGTGCAAACGGCAGGAGCAGTCAAGGCACTCGCCGTGATGAAAAGCTGCCAGTGCAGCGGCATCATGTCTACCCATTTTGCGGCTCAATGCCGTACCCAAAGGCTCCGATGTACTGTTATGGGGGATACTTCCCCAAATCATGATAGTAGTTCCTAATATAGAAACCCTACATTCTACTATATCGGTACTTTGGACCCTTTGGGATAGGGGAGCAGATGACCAACGAGCGTGGGTGTGTACTTGTGCGAGTGCCAGGTTTTCGGCTTTAAGGCTTGAGGATCCCTAAACCCTGAAGCCTAAGCCGTAAACCTTAAAACCCTAAACCCTTAAACCTTAAATCCTTAATCCCCATACCCTAAGCCCAATACCCTTAAGCCCTAAACCCCTAAACCCTAAGCCCCATACAGCAACCTGATGAGCTAGACCGGAATTACCAGACTCTAACCGAAACGAGGTCTCAGCAAACAAAAGTGGGAAGCCTCTGAACGTCTGCTTGAACATATCACGGGACTCAGTATCTTGGCTGTACGGAGCAAAGTTGTATGTACCTTTCATCGTGGGGCTTGCTGCGTTATGTTGTGAAGCTTAGTGTTATTTTCTGCCGATGTGTTCAGGGAAGACTTTAAGAACTTCTCCCTGCTATTGACATGAAGGATACTGATCTCCTAGTTGTTGAGTCTTTCGCATCTTTCATGCCTCTCCGAACCCCTCATGCCGGCATGAGAGCTTGAGTTTCTCGATTATCCTAACCCTTTTTCCACCAAAGGCTGAAGCCTCTAAGCCTTTCCCTCAGCTTGCTTGTGCTCAGAAAGTATGTACTTTGGCTGCCTCCATGATAGATCCCCATAGTACCGCTTAAAGGGGAACCTAGTATAGCATCCATAGAACCCTATAGTACCTCTTAAGGGCTCAGGGTTTCTCGGGTTTCAATTGCCAAAACCGGCCAAGCCCTGCCCTTGTGCGGACTCAAAACACGGGGGCAAGCCGCAGCTCTATCGTTCACATCATGCCCCGCGCTAAACCCTAATCCCTTAACCCTATAAATCCTAATCCTTAATCATAATCCCACACCCTAAAGCAAAAGCCAGAAAGTTGGAATATGATTATCCTAAGCCCTTAATGGTAAATTATAGGGTATCCTACCCTGAAACCATATTCCAACTTTCTGGAGTTTCCCTTAGACCCTAACAGCTAAACCCTCAACCCTCAACCCCGACTCGAAACCCTAAACCCTAGCCCTAAACCCTCAACCCCATACCCCATTAAGCACCCGGCTTCCCAGAGACTCCAATATGCTTTAATTAAGGAATATACCTTCAGTCATATTAGGGATCCTACTATAGTTTAGGTATATTCCCTTAATTAAGGGACATTGGAGTCTCTGGGTTCTGGCTTTTTGAGGAGTATCTGCCTAACTTCGACTCCATGGGGTCCGAGGAATCGCGAGGTGGGAAGCTTTAATCTAGGGACCTTAAGGGTTCCCTTAAGGGATCTATAAGGGTTCCTTAAAGGGATCTACAAGGGTTCTATAAAGGGCTTAGGCTTTAGAGTTTAGGGGGAGTTTCCGAAAATTAGGGGTCCCTTTCTTGGTGTCCTTATGATAAGGATCCTACTCTACCCCCCTAAGGGTCCCTATGATTAAGGCTGCCCCCTAAACTCTAAACCCCTAAACCTTAAAACCCTCAACCCCAAACCCTAACCCCTAAACCCTAAACCCTAACCCCCCTAAGTCCTAAACCGTTAACCCTAAAGTAAACCCCACAAAGTTGGAAGCCTGCTTAAGGCCAAATAGTGCTGGGATTCCCTGTACATTACTCTTAAGGATGGAGGCTCTGCGGTTTCCAATTTTGGGGGCTTCTACTGCATGTCTTAGAATAGGGTTCCTTGAAGAGTTCCTTTTAAAGGGGTCTATCAGGATTACTAAAAGGGTACCATAGTCTAGGGGCCTTAATAGTTAGAATAGGGTTTTGGGGTATATTATACCAGATTTATTATAAGGAACCCCACGAGGACCCCCCAAGGGCCCTGCAACAGAGCCCTTACGGCCCTTGACATTCAGTATTTGGGGTATATTAGAGGGTAGTTGGTGGGGTCTGGGTAAGCCCTAAGACGATAAGCCCTAAATCCTCAGCCGGGAACCCTCAACCCTACATCTTCTTAAGTCCTAAAACCTGAAATCCTGAACCCTGCACCTTTAAAAGTCAGCACCAAATCCTGAACCAATCTTTCAACTCTTAAGCCGGCAGCTGTGTGTAACTTTGGCTCTTTAAGGAGCCCTGAATGGAAGCGTAGAACCCTCGATGGAATTCTCATAGTTCCCCCTGCAGTCGCCCGTAGAGGAACCTAATCCTAAAACCCTAAACCCGAGTCATGGTGCTTCCGGATCGTCCGTGTGACGTCTTGCATAAACCCGCAATCCTAAGCCCTCACGCCCCAAAGCCTAAAGCCCTGCACCCCCCTACACTCAACCTTAATTACTAGTAGCTCTTATGGACTTCAAAGGATCCTTTTAAAGGAGGAAGTCCTGAAGGAGCCTGTCTCCAGCTTTTTGACGGAGCCTTACAACATCATTTCGAGGGTAGGAGAGCTTAGTAAGCAAGTACGTGTCGAGAAGAGCTATAAGTGCCCAAAGTGGGATCTTAATCGGGGTTGTGGCATTGACAACTCCTTCTAAAAAACCCTAAACTCCTGACCTCCTGAAAAGCCACTTGCGACGTCCTCCGACCCCTAAAGCCTAAACCCTATACCCTTAACCCCTAAACCCTAAGCCCTAAACCCCTAAACCCTGAACCCTAAAACCTAAACCCCTAAATCCTAAACCCCTAAATCCTAAACCCCTAAACCACTAAAACCCTAAACCCTAAACCCTACCCTCCAAGCAGGCTCTACTGAGGGCTGGAGCTCTCCGAGAGGTGCCTGCTCTCGGGGAAGCCTTAAGGGCTTTAAGGGATCCCTCCGGGGCTCCTTTAAAGGAGCCCTGAAGGGATCCCTTAAAGGGATCTTTTCAGGGATCCTTTAAGGGATCTTTGAAGATGCCATATCGAAGAATTTAGAGCGTTCTTTTAAGAGTTGGGGCTTTAGGGGTTTAGGGTTTTCGGGTGTGGGGATATAGGGTTAGGGCTCCTCCAAGGGTCCCTTTGTCAGAACTTTTTGGGATTAGTCTGTCTCGGACCCCGCGACTTCAGGCTGCAGTCTCTGATACGGTTCATGATACAAATCCTGCATTACCCATAATAAGGAATATACCATAATTCCCATGGTTAAGGGTCCTTAAGGTAATGCAGGATTTATCTCATCAACCGTAGGAGTTTTGGAATGGCAGCTGTTAGGGTTCAGGGGTCAGGTTTTCCTGGCTTCGAGATTATAGGGTTTATAGGGTTCCTTGAAGGGTTCCTTGAAGGGAATATGCCCCTTGGGGGTTTAGGGTTCATAGGGGTTAGGGGTTTAGGGGCTTGAGGTTACGGGTTTCCTCACTTTTCTCGCCTTGTATGTGGAGCTCTGGTGGGCTTTTGGTTTAGCCCTATAACTCAGGGGCACTTAGAAATAATTTTAACTTTTTGTTATTATACTCCCTAAGAAACAGCTAAAATTGTAATTTGAAACGCTGCGCGTCGTCCGCCTCGGCCCGGCTGTACGCGCATGCGGCGAGTGGCTACTATCTGCAGCAAGCTCTTGTAGGAAAAAAGTAACAGTTGGAACCGCACTTATAGTAAAAGTAATGTTCATAGCAACACGAAGCAGGATGATTGTGAGTAGTATTAGTAGTGGTAGTATCAGTACCAATTTTGGTGTCGTCATTCCGAAACACTGGATACCAAGACTCTCGCAAGCGGCGGGATGCCTTAAGTATGGGCCGTTGAGGCTGTGGATTTCGTGGGCGTCTTGGATTAGGTTATCCCAACGAAAGGGCGTCGAAAACAAGCCTGAGACGCACATAAAGATGCTACATTGCAGTCCCGTGTCGTCGAAAACTCCAGAAAGCTCGCACCTGTCAGCGAGCGGAGGAGGGGCGGGAGGGAAGGGGGAGTGGGGGGCACGGGAGGGGAGGGGGGGGGGGTGGGGGGGAGGGGAGGGCGGGGGGGGGGGCCAACACGTTTCCATTTTTTAGGGGGGGGCGGGGGTGGCCAGGATTTTGGGGGTGGGGTTAGTGGGGAGGGGATTAATAAGAGGTGGGGAATAGGAGAATCCGAATCGGAACCTCTGACCGCTTCGGCCGGCACCGAGGCGAATTTTGGCTAGGGTTCTAAGTTCAGTATAGAATAAGCCTTAAGCCCTACACCCTCAGCCATATATCCTATACCCTAAGCCTTACCTGTAGGCCAAAAGACTTACATTTTGAGGGAACTACATATAGAAACCATAACCAGGAACCCGAAAAAGGTAGGTCTTTTCGGCTACTACAGGTAAACCCCAAGCCCAAAAAAACCCTAAACCTCTCCTTGCAGCTCCGAAAGACCTTGCAAGGCGGCCAGGTAAGCTGACACAGCGGACCTGTCGGTGCTTAGTGAGAGAATAGGGTCATGGCCTAGGTTTTACGGTTTAGGATTTAGGTTTTAGGTTCAAGGTTTAAGGTTTAGGGCTTTTTGGGTCTACCTTACTTGGAGTGTCAGAGGGCTTTCAGTAGGTAGCAATTAAGTAAGTCGGGTTATAACTTCCTTCAGTGGGAATCGAGTTGGGGTTATGGTATTTATAATGACTCCATAAAGTAAGTATCTACGAATTACGTCCCCCCGACCCGCCAAGTATGTACCACGGCGACAAACCTGCTCTTAGGACGGCTATGATCGAAACCCTAGACCCCAAACCTTAAGCACTGTGCCGTACTTTGAGTATCCGGGATTTGTGATGCCGTACAAGCCGCAGCTAAATCCTAAAACCCTACATCCCTAAAGTCCAACTTCACCGAGGCTCTATCAACCCCTATAGCCCCAGAGCCCGGAATCATTGCACCATGAGGCTCTTGAGCTTGAAGGTATACCACGATGCGCCGTGAGAGCTAAATCTGCAACCATGAACGCGTAGCAAAGAAGTTCTCTAAGCCCCTATAATACCGTTACTAGGACCCGGAGTAGGCCCTTATTCCTTTTTTTAGGGTTTTAGGTTCCCTTATATCCCCCTTTAAACCAAAAAGGGCACCCTTTTTATTCCTAGGTTACTCTTGGGTCTAGGTTATAGTGGAATCCCTGCGCGAGCCCGCCTAGAAACCGCCAAGGAACACTTATCGACACCGTAACACAAGGACATGTTTTTTTGCCAAAATTCTTCCTTAGGGCTCTGCAATACACTTATACTACTATTGTGTGCCCCCAGTGCTCTAGTCTAATTATGCCAAATGGTATCTGAGTAGTAGGTAGCCTTTTACCCTTTTTTGCGGTAATATAACCCCGATATAATCCAAAGAACCCTAAACCCTAAGGCCCTAAGGTCAACTTGTAGTTCTCATAGGATACTGGACAAAACCTAATGTTTTGATCCTAAGCCCTAACACTTCACCCGAAACCTTAAAGCCCATAAGTATAGGGGCCTTAATAATTATAATAGGGTTTTGGGGACCAGTATACTATAAATCTAAGAAGGAGCCCCCCCAACATAGTATTGGCAATTATTTAGGCCCCTATGGTCTGTTGCCCCAACAGAGCCCCTGACAGGTTTCTCCCCGATGGTCATTTCATGCGGATTTCTTGGACTCGCCATGAACCTCGAAGTGAAAGTTAGTTTGGTTTTTGGGCTTTATGGGGGTTTCTCTGAGGGTTTTCCCTTTTGTTGTTCTATAGGGTTTATGGGGGTTCCTTGAAGGGTCCCCTTTATGGGCTCTAGAGGGTTTGTGGGGGTTTAGGGCCTTTTGTTCAAGGTTGAAGTGGAAGTTAGTTTGGTTTCAGGCTGTGGGAGGTTCATTGATGGGTTCTATAGGGTTTGGGGTTTAGGGTTTCGGGGTTCAATCCGGGGGTTCCTCTAAGGGTTTCCCGGAAAGGGGACTTACTTCCTTAACTAGGCCTGAGGTCCTTTGTCATGGGCATCAAGGCCCCCCTACTCCCCTCCCCCCACCCACCTAAGGGTCCCCGTGATCTGGTGAAGCCGTAAGGCCTATAAACCCAGCAGAAATCCAAATCCCATACGACCAATTTGGGTAAACTCGAAACCGGAGAAACCTATGCCTAATCCCGAAGGTGCGTGCTAGGTTAGATATGGTTTAGGGTTTGGCTGCGAAAGGGTGAAGGGTTTAGGGTCTTTTACGGATCAAAAGAAGCCTGAGATAAGGTATACAACCACATACCAACGGGGTCTTACTGCCTAGTAACGGTTTGCACTTAAAACCTCTAGCGCGAATGTAGTATCGCACACACACACACACACATATATATATATATATACACACACACCTCCTATCATTTATACAATCCACTTGATTCATGCCCCCGAGCTACTCCCCACGAGTTTGGTTTCCTCAACGAAGGTCCGTCTGCAAAACACCAAGCCGGTAACCAACTACGCAGGGTTCGGAAGTAGGATCCCCGCCAGCTAGGATCCCTAAACCTCAAAACACCAGGACTTACGCGCTTGGAGGATCATGCGGTCTTGCAAGCAAGGTGAGAAGCTTTTGAATGGAGTTTATGAGTAACTTTGACTCGAACTATGGCTACCTTGTTTATAACCCTATATCTCTAAGTTACATGATCCTCCGAGTAAGTAGTAGCATCCTTGAAACTCAGATCCCCAATAAAGGACCCCGTACCTCCAGGAATCCCTTGTTTGGGAGATTTGCAACCCTGTCAACCGATAAATCCCTTCAGCCCTAAAAGCTCGAAACGCGCTATGTACTATACAGGCCTCAATAATCACCTATACTACTGTGATTTCCTTATTAAACTACCCTTGTAGATCCCTTATAGACAGCTTTTTCGGAGCACTTAAAGGAAGCCTTTTCTAATTATTAAGGCCCCGAGAGTTAAGCTTCCCAGGACCCTGCTGGACGCCTGGATCTTCCAGGTGCGGCCGGCAGAATCCCGGAACCCTAAACCTTAGGGGTACTTATTAGAAATAGTTTTTTTTTAAAGGTTTTGGGTTCCAAAATATCCCTGAGAAACAGCTAAAATTATGATTTTTGCTAGTTGTCTAATCCCCTGAACCCTAAACCCCTAAACCCAGTGTTTGCGATGCAAGGGTCTCGAGCGTTCGGCTAGGGCTTTTAGCTTTTCGGATTTCGAGGTTCAGGGTTCAAGCCCTAAGTTTAGGGCTTTCGGGTTCGAGTTTAGGGCTTTCGGGTTTAGGGTTCAGGTTTTAGGGTTTTAGGATTTAGGGGGTTTGGGGTTGAGGGACTGAGACTCGCTGGGGTATGTGATTTAGGAAATGTTTGTCGATGTAACTTAGTAAGTAAGTAAGTCCTGCGGGTCCAAGTACCTAATTATCATTTACTCTCCAAAATAGTAACCTACATAACTACTATCCTAAACCCAAGTACCTAATTATTGGGTCCGGTTAAGAATGGAAGTACTTCAATTGGAGTTATAAGTAACTATAACTAGAGCTACCCTCCTAGTAACCCAAGTTACTACGTCCCCTGATCCTGTAACTACTGGCACTTGTTGAGCCTCTTGCTTGAAGCCGTGTGACTGGATCCCATACTGGACCCTGGGTTTACTAGGTAGGGCTTTGGGACATTTAATATTTTCCCTTATTGGGCTTAAGAGGATCTTATTTACTAATATTTTTCAAAGGCTTTAAAAGCCCCACCTAGTTTAGGGTTTAGGGAATTTAGTCTGGTACCGTAAACCTTGAACCCTCAATCATGAACCAACCACAAACCCTGGACCCTAAACCTGACACCCAGCCGCAACCCTACGTAACCTACCTTTCCTGGGGTTCCCTTCTATGAATTCCCTATACAAGTCTTTAAAAATATAGGCTTTCTAGGGTGTAGGAATTCCCTAGATTATGCATCTTGGATTTTACCCGGTGCCACCCCCGATACAATTGCCTGCACGCTAGGATTAGGTCTACCTGAACCCAAACAACCTAGCTGCCTAAGGAAGTATATAGGGAATTAATAATAAGCAACCCTAAACCCTAAACCCTAAACCCTAAACTAGGTTCTGCAGGATTCAGGTAGGGCTGTCAAGGGTTTAGGATTCAGGGTATCAGACCCTGTTTCTCACGCCCCTCTCCAATTACCCGCAAGTCAATCTAAGCCCTCAGTTTAATTGTAGCGGTCGGTCGTCAGTGAGATTTCGTAAAGCAAAGGCTCTGGAGGATTGATCCCAAAATTCAGCAGGGTCGAGATGCAGGGCGCTTTTTCTGAGTACCCGATGTCAGATAGGCAGACGGAGGGCTTTGAAACAGGGATTTGCACCTTCCAGGGGAGGGCTTTCCGCAGCCATCTTAGTAGTAGAGGTCACCTTCAACCTTGTTGGGGTTGTATAACCCCTTCATCATCCCAAGGTTACTAGTTCCCCTGGGATACTGGACTTCTGGGCATGTTGACGAACATCTTGGGCAGAGCAGGCCTTCGACGACCATAAGCCCACAATCTTGAACTTCAAGCTTCAACCCTCGGCCTTTTAATCTTTTATGGGCCTCCCAAAGCAGAGGCAGGGTGCGATGAGCGCCTCGCAAACCATGTTCCAATCATGATGTCCGCCAGGTATTTAGCAGACAGCATAATATTGCCCTGAGCCCGACCGAGCTACAGTGCTGGTTCCATGGCAGATACTTCGTGCGTGCGTGCGTTTGCATGTGTATTTCTCGGTGCATTGCTATGACCGCTTGCCGCGGTGCTGGATTTGGATGTGGCGTGTGCCGCTACAGGAGCTTCATCATCCCTCACCTTATGTGCGGGACTCATCTGAGCGCATCTGATGTGCCCCGTAAGCGGTTTCTTCATATGTATGTCAATGTTTTAGGTCTCTTGTTCAGGCATGTGGTTGGGATGAGGTGCTTAAGGAAAATTTCTGGAGCCGTTGCATGCAGCCTTCACCGTTCGTGACATGTTTGGAAGTACTTGCTGGCTACTGCTGGTTTCGACTGGCATGCTCACAGCGCAAGCCGGATTCTCCACATACCTCCTAGAGCGATTGCTTGGAACCATGCTCGCTGCCTGTGGTTTGGGCATGCAATGGACAACGAAGCGTGGCGTGTGAGGAAGCAAGTCCAGCAATTCCAGCCAGATTGTTGCAGAGTTGCTGCTTGCTGTTTTGGATGTGTTTATAGGTTTCCCAGACCTTTTCACAAGTCGCCCTTCAAGTTTCCGGTGCGTGTTCTCGAGTTTTCCTGCAGTGTTTCCGATAACACTCCCAGCAAAGAAGACATGCGATGCCATGGGAGACCCACACGGAAGGGATGTGTGCCCGCTCGAATCCCATACTTCCGGATCAGGGATTCGCACAGGACCGTGTTTCGAAGGTTCCTGATTTTTCTTGATGCTGTTTTCAGTTTTTAGCAAGCGATCCTTGCTTCTGCAGCTGGCATTTTTCCCACTCTTGAAGTGGAAAATGCACCCAGAGGTAATTACCGGGCTCATTGAAGTCCAGACGGCTCTCTTGGGCTACCCTACGAGCAGCGATGACTTCGAATACAATGCTGCCACTACACGGACTCGTACAGAAGCGTCCTCGATAATGTCGTTGCAAGCTTATGTAGCAAGCTGGAAACGCAGCCCGGTCTCTCATACCATTCCGCAGGTTATGCCTTTCCAGGCAAAGACCGGCCCCGTACTAAATCTACCAAGTTTGATGTTGCCGACAAGTTGTTTTCCCCGTTATTTCGTGGAATGGGGGGCAACAAGGCTTCCGAGTGAGCTACAAGCTACAGTTTCACCCAAGTACAGCGGAGGCCAGTTTCGAATAGTAGCAGATGAATCTAGTAGTCTAGTAGTTTCGGTTTCATGCAACCGCGAAATCAGGTAACACGCCTTCACTGCAAGCAGCATCATCAGCCCTGCTTGAACAATGTGTCTCACTATTCCAGGCACGATGTTAGGTCAAGCAGCAGCAAACATTTCGTTTGTGGGTTTCCTGTATTGAGTAGGTGCTTTGGAAGTGCTGTTCCGGGGTCCTCAAATTATGGGTCCGGCGTTGGCTTCGAAATTCACACCGGCCAGCGCCAGCTTTCTGCTCAACGGGTAGATGCCTTGTAGAGTTTGAGGAGCATCGCTGATGGTAGCGCATAGTTGTCGGAGTTCCCTCATAGTCTCATACTTTCTTTGTTTGAGCATCAGCTATTTTCACATTCGCTTGCACACCAAGTCCTGCACATAACTCCAGCTTTATCTGCTTGCTCGTGTGTCCAATTCCAACGCTGAATGTTTGCGGTCTGGCCAGAGAACAGGTCAGATGGTGCGACGTTTTTGTAAGCTTTGTTCGCAAAGCCTTCTTCCGAATGCTTCGTGTCTGGAGACCTTCTGGGCAAGAGTTGGCCGCCGTGAGTGCGGAAACGTGCCAAGATGCAGCTGACTTGAAGTGGTATCTGTGTAAACAGTATGGATTCCCTGTGTTCATGCAGCAACTTGTGCATGACAATACTCCGTTGGCGGATGGCGCGAAGCTGGATGCCTCAATGGATTTGCAGTTGGTGCTGCTTACCCTTTCCGGCCCTGCTCAAACATGCAATGCCGCATCTATAGCCCAGGTATACTTGGCACGTGCTGCCCAAGTGAACCATATTGATATGGTCCGTTGCTTGTTGGAAGCTGGTGCTGCAAAAGATCGTCAAGACCATGAAGGTTTCACACCCCTTATGCTCACATCTGCTCATGGCCACGCGGGAATTGCCCGCATGTTGCTTGAAGCTGGCGCTGCTAAAAACTGTCGTAGCCACGCTGGCCTAACAGCCTTGATGCTTGCATCAAAGCATGGTCACGCTGAGGCTACGCGTGTATTGCAGGAAGCTGGTGCCGACAAGGATAGCCGGGACAATGAAGGCATGACAGCTTTAATGTTCGCAGCTGCACATGGCCATTTTGAAGTTGCAAGCTTGCTGTTGGAATTTGGATCTGAAAAGGATTGCTCGTGCCTAACCGGCAAGACCGCTCTAATCCTCGCATCACGTCATGGTCACACGGAAGTTGCACGTTTGTTGCTGAAGTCTGGTGCCCGTACGGATTATTGGGACCAAAACGGCATGACGGCCCTCATGCTCGCCTGTCGGTTTGGTCACCTGCAGATTGCGCGCTTGTTACTGGGGTTTGGTGCTGAGAAAGCATGCTGGGACCGGAACGGCTTTACAGCTGCTATGCACGCACGGCAGAATCATCACTCGGAGGTTGCCCGCATCCTAAGGGAAGCTTGAGACCAGAACGACATGGCAGTCTTCGTCATGAGCGCTGTAAGTGCTGACAAATGTCGCCGCAATGTCGAGATAAACAGTGGGCAGGATGACATCCGAGCTCCCAGTCCTAGATTGTCAATCACTTGTATAGGGAAGCCGTAAATGCAGCGAAATGCTAGCCGCTCGCCCTCTAGACGACCCGTCGAGCACAAGCCAGTTGCCAAAAGCCCCGACCTCAAATCCGAGCTCTTGCTAGTCGCCTATCACCCGGGAGCAAAAATTTATTTTTGAGGTCGAGGATTGCACATTTCACAAAAGAAAGGCCCGCATCAACAGTGGAAATGCACTATGTAACACAGGCTTCGTTAGTTTAGCATATACGTTGGTGGTTTTTTCGATCGTAGAGAGGCACGTGATTATTTCCTACAATTGATGTTCATGAATGATGTAGGAGCATCCGTTAGGGACCAGCTTAGTTTTGGGCTCTCTGTTCACGTATGCTGCACGGATAGCATTTCTGTTGAATTTCAGGCGGCGTCGTTAAGATATTCGGGTCATCCGGATGTCGGTTTTGGGAGCTTTACATCGTTTGACATTGAAACTAATACATTTCTCATGTCAGGGCTCTGATGGTGTAAGGTTTGATCTTCACGCAGGGTAATAATCTTGGGGGTGGTTAGATCGTTTAAAGTAGGATACGGATATTTCATAAGTAGATGGAAGAAAGGCCTAACAAAGTTATAGACATGTATAGAATGCCTGAGTTTGTCCAATTAGCGTGTCCATAGCTTGTAGCTCCAGATGAAAACGTGTCAAGATAACCGTTGTCACAGCGGCATAAACCTGAGTAGCGCAGGACGACAATTTCAACCAATGTTGTACCTGTATTCGTGATGCATTCAACACCGTGTTTCAAGATTGCCGTTGCCAGGTTGTCCAAGATGTATGGTGGGCACATATCGCACGCCTTTGCGCTTGCTTCCCGTTCTGTGGCTTCGATGGTGGGGCTGGTTTGGGGTTTTGGGGTTTCGCGTTTTGGAGCTGGCATCCTTACACCCTAAACCAAATGCCTTGCAACCAATTCACCTCCTCCAGATGATCTCCGAAAGCCCAAACCACCAATTCGCCAAAGGTTCTTTACATGGAACCATCGAACCAAATGCACAAAATTTGAGCCCTTGACCCTAAGCTTAACGTTGGACATCTTGAGCCTTGAAGCCTTGAAGCCGAAAGCCTGAAAATTAAACCCTAGACCATTTTTGTTCGCCATTTTCTGTTCATAGTGCTGATGCCCTGCCCCCGGAACCAGCCGAAGCAACCCACCATAAACCCGATAGCTTGAAGCATCGTGGACTCGGTGGCTATGTTGTACTAGGACCTAGAGTAGGCCCTTATTCCCGTTTTCAGGGTTTAGGGTCTCCTGTAACCCCCTTTACCCCCAAAAGGGCACCCTTCTTATGCTTAGGTTGCTCTTGGGTCTAGTGCAGTTTTCTTATACCGCACATGCCAACTCCGCTGATCCTGCCGTGATCTTTATTCGTGTAAACCGCAGGGGCTCCATAGACACTACCGTTACGGGATTAGGCTCTTTCGGAATGCTTGCGGGCTTATAGTTTATGTTAATGTCGGTTTTAGTATCGGAATATTAGCACCAAGACCTCTAAATGCTTCGTATATCTCGGCTGATCTCGGGAAGCCCATGGGCCCAGAGTAGATATACGGAGCCACAAGGTTTAGGGTTTAGGGCTTAGAGTTTGGGGTTTAGGGTTTAAAGTTTAGGGTTTAGGCATTTAAGGTTTAGAGTTTTGGCTTGAGGTTGTTGAGCTTTGGGATTTAGAGTTCTGGTATTGATTAAATACATACATGACAAGCTATAACCGTAAAGCAGACCTTAAATCCTTTTATAAACCGCAAGTCTTGACCTCTGTGACGCCCGAGCCCTTCGGGCCCTTTCATTCGTGCCCACAGCCGAGTCATCGATAACGCCGGCAATGAACCCGAAACTTAGCCCAAAGGCCATTCCTTGCACCCATCCCCTGGGGATCAACATAGCCCGAAAGCCTTATATAGTATGGTCTTTGGGGGCTCAAAATGCTT